AAAAACAAAACTAATTTTTGTTTTATTTTTGATAAAAATTAAAAATATAAATCATGGTAGTCATTTATATTTAAAAATTTATAAAAATAAAAATAAAAAATATGTTTGGTATTATATCAAAAATTCACCACCCAACACCACCACCACCAAAACCCACCCCCACAACCCTTCCCCTAAAATTCACCACCATTCTGTTTTATCTGTTCTTCGACTCGCATTCTCATCCGAAGAAATCCAAGTGTAAGAAAGCAATTACTTTCGATTTCCAAACAAACCCAATTCAATTCCTTCAATACTCCTTCGATTCCCTTGTTTTCTGAACCAATCAAAACAGGGCTTTTTCGTTGTTCTTCATCTTCTTCTGGTAATTTAAAAGGGTCTCTGTTGTTGGGTTTGAGATCAGAACACACAATGGCCAGCCAATCATCCCAGCCACAATCAGTCCACGAGTTCATTGTTAAGGTTGGTTACCTTCTCNACTCCTTCGATTCCCTTGTTTTCTGAACCAATCAAAACAGGGCTTTTTAGTTGTTCTTCATCTTCTTCTGATAATTTAAAAGGGTCTCTGTTGTTGGTTTTGAGATCAGAACACACAATGGCCAGCCAATCATCCCAGCCACAATCAGTCCACGAGTTCATTGTTAAGGTTGGTTACCTTCTCATTCACCTCCACCCAACCCCACCACTACCATCAAAACCCACCCCCTTTAACCCTCTGTAACCCTAAAACCCGCCACCACCACCACTAAAACCCACCCCCACAACCCTTCTCATGAAATTCACCACCACCCAACCCCATCACCACCATCAAAACCCACCCCCACAAGGCCACAACTCCCTGTAACCCTAAAACCCACCACCACCACTGAAACCCACCTCCATCCCCGAAACCCAACACCAAAACCAAGCAAACCCCACCACCCAGCCATCCAACACCACCAAAGAAGATGAGAGAGAGAAGACAACGACAGAGCTCTTCGGTTATTCGCAGAAAGATAAGACGATAGAAAAGACAGAAGACGAGAGACATAACTTGCGTATATGAGTAGTAGGTAGAAGAGACCTTTTATACTTCCAACTAAAAAGTCCAAATTTTGGTGTTAACAAGATTCGAAGATAAAACCTTATTAAAGGGTGAGGCTGGGCATGCGTGTGTTTTTTTTTTGTTTGATGTTTCCAAAAACGTCCTTTTTGATGTTTTCGTATGTTGGCCTTTTTTCCAAAATAGGACAGTAAAAAGAAAAATGAAAATACATCCCAAACACGTTATTGTTTTTTTTAAGCAAAAAATTAAAAAAAAAAACACAACCTTCAAATTACCAAACACTACCTCAATTTCACTAAATTCAATGTTTTTTTTTAAGCATTGCATATTTAATATTTGACACCAATAATCATGTACAAATCATCACTTTAACACCAAAATCATTATCCAAATGGACAATGTTACCATTTTTAGACATATAAGTTATTTATTATATAGAATTTATCAAAATCTTTAATATAATATTTCAGTAAAAACCATGTAATACTTACTATATAATTTTTCCTCCTTATTACAAATTGATTCAGATCTACAATTACACCATAAGTTGATCTTCTTATCATGCATTTTATTATCGGTGTTTCATGTTTTCTTCTTACTTCTCATCGATCAATTCAATTTAAAATGTCTACACATTTTTAGGTCAATTTGCTCAGACAAAATAATGTAGGCGTTGTGATTCGTGATGAACGTGATCTTAATCACATAATTAAGGTCGTGTCATGTCACATTTTTTGATTTTACGTTACTCAATTTATTATGTGCTCATCTGTATTATATTCTTAAAGAAGAACAAAAAATCAAAGACATCGACAAAAGATAGTAGTAAAAGAAAAGAAAAGACAAGTTGTTCAAGCAAAGAAAAAAAAAACAACATGTGACGTGCTATAATTTATTGATTTTTCATGTAATAAATACGCAATTATTTCATATCATTCAAAACGATATTATTAAATCCAAAATTTAATAAATCATCGGTGGGCATTTTTTTGTTTGAGATATTTGTTATTTGGGTGGATTGAGTTTATGATTATGATGTTATTGAATTGGATTAGATTATGGTAATGGTGATTTAATTTGGTTCTATCAATATTTTTTTTTCTTGATGTATTTATATATATGGTGTTATTTTAAAAAAAAATTTATTTATTTTTTTAAAAATAATACAATACTTTCTGGTACGAATAATTATTAATAATTTCACATTATTGAAAAAGCGTACGATTGCGTCAATATTTTTTCAAAAAAGGAAATGCTCTTACAACTCACGTCTTGTCAAGCATTTTCATTTGTTCCCATACACACTACGTACGTGTTCGCGGCATTTATTCACACTACTCACATACCCACCCACCTTCCATCGTCATCACTCCACGATCACCATTAAAAGTAGGAAAATATTATTTAAATTTAAAATTTTGATATAAATTACTGATCTAATAATATAATTTTATTAGAAACATTAAATTAACACCTAGTTTTAATATTGGGTTAATCTCATTTTGTACTCCGAAAGATTGTTCGAATATCAATTTACACCCTCAAAGATCAAAAATCTCAATTTACACCCTCAAAGATAGAAATTTGTATCAATGTGCACCCCCAAAGATCAAAAATTTTAATTTACACCCTCAAAGATAGAAATTTATATCAATGTGTACCCTAAAGATAAAAAATCTCAATTTGCACCCTCAAAGATAGAAATTTGTATCAATGTGCACCTAAAATTAAATTGATAAATTATACCTAAATCCCCTCATATTTGTCAGTTAATCATTTAGACCTCTTCACATTTAGAATATTACTC